TCCCCAACATTATAGATAAGTTACATTTTGTTGTATGTACAGCAGTGATAGGTCAGCAGTGCAGCTGAAAATTTCTTGCTACTTAACATAACACACGTCGAAGAAGCTGAAAAATGTATTTATTTAATTATTAATTAATTTTTTTATGTAACAGCTTGTCTCTACTTTTTAAAAAAGAGGGTTAACAAAGAAAAAAAAACATTTGATGCATTGCTCTGGTGTTTTCTGGGTATGCTAGTGTATACTATGTTTAAAAACTGGACTGGAAGTCTAGCCTGTCATCAGCTGTCTTTAGTATGTGACTCGCAAACAAAACTTTAAATCTGGATTTAGACTCAGATGCTGTTTTGACAATGTCACTGTCACAGCTGCAGACATGTGGGGTGATGAGATAAGGACCCCAGTGGAGGCACTGACCTTATGAAGTTAGCTTTATTGACAGTGGCCAAACAAAATACAAACGAAAGCTGAGCATGGCAGCAACTAAACTAACACAAAAACCTAAACTGGAAGCAGCTACAAAAAAATAATGTAAAGGAACTAAAGCCTGAGACTAGAAACCTAAACCCGTAACGGGGAACCACAGAACATGCAGACCAACAAGAGAGACACAAGACTGAAAACATTAAGAACTCAACAGGTGATACACAGGATAAAGTGCAGTACACGTAGATGAACCAGCAACAAACAGAAGACACAGGGCTAAAATACACAGAGGGACAACGTTGGAACGAGAAACAGGAGGGAAACACAGCTAGGGCTAATCAGGCATCATGAGACAGGGAGGAGGCAAAGCTGAATACACAGACATAAGACAAGGTCTATCAAAGTAAAACAGGAAGCACGAGATAATCACAAAGACGCAGAGTAGACACTGAGACAGAGACACAACGGACTGGGGAGACAGAGAGAACATGGAGACAAGAGTGACTAGACAAGAAACACGGGGAAGGAAAAGTAACAGAAACCTAAATCCTAGGAATTGAAAATAAACACGAGCAGAAAACCGTGAATGACAATAATCCAAGAATATAAATTAACCAATAAACACAAAACACTGGGTCACAGACCCAGAACAGTCACATTCCTTTCTGTAACTTTTCTTTAACTTTGTTAAACTTTATTTCTTTAACTTTACTTTCTTTAACTTACTTAGCAACACACAGGATCTATACTGTCTCCAAGAAATTAGAGAATTTTTCGCAGGTCTGGTTGGTTTGTATATAATTAAACACTGCATTGTATTTGTATTTGCTTGGGTTATCTTTGTCTAATTTTAAAAACATGATCATGTGACAAATATGTAGAGAATTAAGAACTCAAAAAGGGAAAATACCTTTTTGCAGCACTGTGTATTCAGTCCATATAATTCTATTAATTGATTTCTGAATTTAATGAACATAGCCAATAAAGTATTCATTTAAAAAATGAAGTGATCTTAGTTTATGGTGACAGCTAAACTTCCTGGAACTGCTTAGAAGATGGACAGGTCTCAGTTTGGGGCTTGTGATTGTTGAATTTTAACAATACAATTTACATGGCAATATTCACAACAAATAACAGGGCATGTGTGTGGCAGAGCATTTCCTTGGGTTTTTCAGAACCCATTAACATAAAGCCAGAGACTATATAATCAGTATAATACTAGAATGCTGAGACATGTGATGAGTTCAGCTCCTGTTTTTTTTTTCTGACTGTCATATAGTGGTGTTCATCTGGGCTCAGTATAGCAATACACGGTCATCTGTTTCTCTGACTGTGTTTTTATGAATTAAGTACAAAAGCCAGTGATTTTGATAAATACATTCAGTGCACAGAAAATATGAACTCCACAATCTGTGTGTAATAATTACTTCACCACTTGCAAATGTGTCGGCATTCAAAAGAATAATGAGAAAGCAGATTGGAATATAATGTCTTTGTTTCGTTTGCAACCTTTCCACTACATTGCCTTGTAATTGTTGCAGCAGGAACATGACAAGATGAAGTAAGCAAGTTTTACTCAACTGTATATTGATTTATTCTTCAAGCATGGTTCCCATCAGCTGGGTAAATGTAGCTAAATGTGATCTCTGTCTATCCTGTTGCATAAGACTTTTTTATGCCTTTATTATCTTTCCAGAATATATTTTGGTGCTCCAACAATTTTGTATTGTGGTTTTATTTTGGGGTTGTTTTTTTTTTATTTAAATCACCTCTAATGAAATTATTGGCATAATTAGGTCACAGACCTCACCTATAACCAGTGTTGGTCAAGTTACTTGAAAATAGTAATTATTTACTAATTACTAATTGCTTTTCCAAGAAAGTAATCCTTTACTGATGACTTATTTTCAAAAGTAATTAGTTTATTATTATTACTTTTTAAAAACCTGGTACACAACCTGAATACATAATAAAGCAATAGACCTTTCAGCCCAATTCTATTTTTTCTGCATAATCCATCATATAAAATTGAATCAAATGAAATAGTCTCTTTTTATTAATTGTTTTATTAGATTTAATCTTTAATTATATGCACATTACATCAAGCAAAAATTTAATTAGATGCAACATTGACTGAAATAAATGTGTTTAACATTTAAACCTATCTTCTGCATATTCCAGCACATAAAATTAAATATTTTTTTATGTTTACAAAAATAAAAAAATTGCTGTAATTCATCCAGCTGAACAGCAGGAGGGCCCCAGTAAGGCAATCCGCAATGAACAGGAGTGAATAGAGCTAAACAGTTAAAATAATGATTTATGCCCTAGGGAATAAAATACAGAAACAGATGATGTTTTTTGTTTGAAGTAAAAAAAAAAACCTGTTTAGCAGGAGTGGGGCGGGTGGAGGTTTGCCCGGGGCTGTAGCTGCCATGTCAGTGGGAGGATCAGGGGGTTTCTCTATGAATTTCACATTCCCATAGCAGCGTGCTAGGTGCTTGCTCAGGTTTGAAGTTTAAGTTTTTTGCTGTAGAAAGAAGTTTTCTTCCCACGCAGAGTGTACAGCAGACACTAATGTTTTTGTCCGGTTTTACAGGATAAACCTTAAAGTAATGTCAGTACTTCCAAGCTTTATGCTTTTGCATGTTTCTCGTTTACTGTAAAATACAAATATAATTCCACTCCTCACCTCTCATTCCAACCACACGTCACTACCTGTATCTCACAGCCAGGCTCCAGTCATTAACACTTACCCAAGGCCCCCAACACATACAGACAGTTAGCATTTTGCAGTGACTAAAGCATTAATGTCACCATTGTGAAATATGCAGACCACTGCATTTTGCCAGTTTGTCCAGCTACCATGCTAGACCTGCTTGCATGTCATGTGGGGTGAAAGTCAGGTAATTTTGGACTTGTACATCTATTTTTCCCAAGTTCCAAGCACCCAGAAAAATAACTTCACGTTAAAAGAATTAATGCTGAATTCATTCAACAGATTTTCAAACACAAGAGTATAAATTAGCATCTAGGTGAACCAAACCGAAGTTGGAGTCACTTTTTTCTCCGTAAGATTAGTCTCAGGATCTAAATAAATTGGTTTTATTTGGTTCCAGTTAGCGTTTTTTAATGATATAATGAGTTATTAAATTATTACATTTCTTCTTGGTTTCCTTTTTCTAAACAGAATATTATTCAAGCTTCAATGTATTTGGAGATTGACTGTAAAATATGTAAAGAATTAAAGATATAAATGTCTTGCCCCCATTACGTACCAAACTACCATACTTCAGTACAGACCATTTCCTAAGACAGCTGGCCACTGACTCAAAGGAAGGACCTTCTTAGTCTCTGATTTTAGACCTTGAGGGAGATAAGATTTTTCTGTCCTTTTCAGGGTTCTCACCTCACCTCCACTGCCTTGCCAGGGAGCCAACAAAGCCTCACTTTACCTCGTTACTCTTCCTCTTTTGGCACTAAATTCAACACACCTCTCTCCTAACAGTACTTATCTCCTCTTTGCATCACTCTCTTTTCCTATCTGTTTCTCCTTTCAAATTATTGACTTTTCAGGGCATCTATAAAATATTTACAATGTGAAGGCAGACTCCTTTTTGCTAGGATTTTTATAATAGTGTGTGTGGGGGTGGGGGTTTGAGGGGGATCATTTTGAAAGCGCTAGCACTAAAAGGAATGAAAGAGCAGAAACGAAGCAGATGCAGATGCAGAGTAGATGGAAGTCCGTGCAGAGTCACGGCATGAATACCAATGCTTTACATTGAAACACTGATGATTATGAATAATATTATAAATAAGGAAAGCTACTAATATATACCATATTTCCCATGTATTATGAATTGTGATTCTACCCTGATTATTTCAACTTTCCTTTCTTTTTACTGGGTCAGAGTTCTGCCAAATTACAATAAAGCCCTCGGGACTGTTTCTGCATTAGTTCTGTTGACCGCATGTCATTAGTAAATACTTACAGTTCAAAAATGCAAGACACCCACATCTCCATATTAATAAAAGCTAAACTCATATAGCTTAAAAAATTGCAAAAAAGCCAACATTTCCTTCACAATTCTCCAACGCCATTCAGTAAAAAGTGTTTTAATCCTACAGATAAAAAACAACAACACAAAAGATACTGAAGTTTTTAAAGAATCTGGTGTAAGATTTGGTCAAACTTTTTTGTATTGCTTTAGCACTTCCTGCCAGTTCACTTTTTTATATAACCTGCACGCAGATAATCTTTGGGTATATGAATATATTGTATTACACACTTTCCACCCAATCTTATATTGTGTTAGTCCTTTTTTGTAACAGTGTTCCCTCAAAATTGTTTCTGTACAACAAGCATTTAACCTATCTTATGGTTCCGGCACTTGGAGCTCCAGGTTTAAGTTTTCTCCAAAAACTGCCTGGGTTTATAGGGGCAGTATGGTAAAAATGATCTATTTATAACTGGTGAAACTGATAATTAACTTTGTCGTAATGTTTGTCCCGCTCACAACTGCACGTCATATTAATATTTAATCACCTGTGCGCCATCTGTTTTGTTTTTTCAGGTGGGAGGAACAATGTACAACACAGGCCGTCACGTCTCTCTTCGACTGGACAAGGAGCACCTGGTTAACATCTCTGGAGGGCCAATGACGTATAGCCACCGTCTGGAGGAGATCCGGCTACACTTTGGCAGTGAGGATGTCCTGGGCTCAGAGCACCTACTTAACGGACAGGCCTTCTCTGGAGAGGTGTGTGCAGATGTGAAACTATTATGTGAAATAGCTAGCCATAAAAATAGGTGTTTTTGCAAAGCAAATTTTAACTAAATAAATTACCAAATGAAAATGAAAATATATTTCACTGACTAGCATTATATGAAAATTAGTAGTTGGTTGTCAAAGATAAAAAGTTGGTCTTGCAAATTCTCCAGCCAGTGCTAGTCACACTACTGCTGAAGGAGAAGATATTAAAACATTGATTCATTAATTCATCATTCCTGAAATAATACACATTTCTTACAGCAGTCTGATGAATAAAAGAATGACACCATCTTGATACATTCTTTATCGCAACAACATCTGCTTTAAATCCTGCAAATCAGTGAAGTCCCTGAAATCAGTGGTAGGCACTGCAGCTCAATTTTAAAATACTGATCAGCTCCAAGTGCACTAAATGATCAGGCATGTGTTTCATGTTGACATGAAAGTCACTCAGTAGTATCAGGGGGAAAATGTCAGCTTGTGCTTTATGTCACAGAAACATGCAGGTATGTGTCAAGCCAGAAGGTAGGTTTTTGTTTTTTAATTTTTCTTTATTCAAAATACATTTAATGAGCATAATTTGCATTGCTATCTGAAGATAACATTGACACGCACATGCATTTTCATGAAATTAAGAAAACAACCCTTTTTCTTGACGGTCTTTAATCTTGTCACATCCTGTTATGGCAGGCAGGGAGGGCTTGCAAATAGGGATGGGTATCAAAACCCGGTTCTTGTTGAGAACCGGTTCCCACTGTTTCAATTCCTTGGAATTGTTTGCCATTTTTGCAAACGATTCCCTTATCGATTCCAGTCGCCCCGAATGACATCACCACGTTGTGGAGCGTCATTTACCTGGCAGGAAACATGGCGGCTCAAACGCTCAAAAGTTTGGTCATACTTTACGAGAATGGATGACAACAGGGCAACTTGCAATACTTGCAAAGTAGATATTTCATTTAAGGGAGGAAACGCTACGAATATGCAAAAGCATTTGCTCACAAAACACGCGATGAGCTTAAATGAATGTCGTGTTTTTAATTCCGCTCCGGACTCGTGAATCTCAACCCAGCAGCAGCGGTAACGTTTGTACGTCCTCTCCCGTTAATGGGGCAGGTAAATAATCACCTAACAGTGCATATTATGTTAGCGCGATCTGCCTTATTACAAAACCTGCCATTACTGTGCATTTAGGTCCTGGGGACCCTGTGACATTGAAGAGCCGTAGGGTGGATCTCTTAAGATCTCACTGTTGGGCTTGTAAGGCCATGTTACTCCTAAATTTCTATCTTATTCAAAGAGAAGATATAAAACAAAGTTCTAAGCTAATCGACTTTAGTGTTCTCCTTTTTTAAAAAGAATCGATTAGATAATCGATAAAGAATCGAATCTTTAAACAGAATCGAAAATGGAATCGGAATCATGAAAACCTTATCAATACCCATCCCTACTTGCAATAAATGATGTTTTTTCAGGTGCAACATATGGAACAGGGAAAGTGAATTATGTCAACAAATCTAACCAGCTAACTAAAATCTAGTATTCCTGGTCCATTAATGGAACTGTCCTTGACTTTTATGTAATATTGTTAAAATGGGATTTTTAGCACACTTGTTGTTTAGCGGGTAGCCAGCGGTCCTGAGACAGGAGGATCCCATGTCCAATCTCCTAAGTAACGGGGACAATATTAGAAATAATGACACATGTTTATGCATATTTTTGTGCATTAGAGCCCTGACTTTAGTTCAGGGTATAAAGCTTCAGGTGAGGATGAAGAGGATGATATTTCATTACGGTTCTGGTGGCCTTCGCTTTCCTTTGCATTTTAATAATAATACATTTTATTTATTTATTTATTTTTTACTTATTTAGGGAAGGGGACCCCTTTTCTGACGATAAAACAAACTGACCACTATATTCAAATATGTTGGGGGAACATGGCGATTTCCACAAACCAGTGCCCGCTCCTGTGTATTTTTAATGTATTCATTATAAGTTTATGAGAATGCATCCATTTTTTGAAATGTAATTACAATCTAATTATGTATATTTATGAGTACAGTATATTTTTTTAAAAATTAAATAACCTCGAAAAAATACTAATCGTACGTTTAAGTTTGCGTGTTTGTACAGGTCGGTAGTACAGAACAGACTCATATGGCAATAGTAATTGGAACAAGCAGAAAGGAAAGATTAAGGCATTTATTTCTGGCCAGCATTAAGGCATACTGGTCATTAGAGAAGAAAGACATGCTTTCAGCAGCAGAAAAAGCTGAGCCATAATGAGTTTGTCAAAAAAGATTTTCCAAACATACTGAGGTGACACTGGAAGTGCTTTTGCTGTCGTTTGTAATTACACACAAATCTCTCTGATTAGAGACATATTAGACAGTTTTGATCAATGTCCTGTGAGGTGACAAGTAATTAACGTTACATGATGCTTTATCATAGCTGATAAATCATCATGTGTAGTTACTCTGCCTCAGTTTGATTTGCAGCATGTTTCACAATATGAAAAACACAATGTTACATGTTGATCTGATTACCTAATATCTGATTAAAAACATGAGGCCTTATATGTAAGCTTTAAATTTCCAGTTTATCAAATACCATTGAGCAGTCCTTACCTTTAAATCTAAGCTCTCTTCTTCCTCTCCTGTCCTGTCTTTCTTGTCTTTCTCCATCTGTAAGTGACGTTAGCTCTCTTTCTTTTCTCTCCCTGTGAAATGCAGTAGCTGGACCTTTAGATAGCAACACACTGTGAGACAAACCACACACAAACAGTTTGTGTGTTTGTTGATGTTTTTTGAGCTGATAGAAACGCTGTATTTGAAATCACCTGACACTTAAAAAAGTCACTCACTTTATGTTCACTCCTCTTCAGTAGTGCTAGCTAAATGCTTAAGTACCGCAACTTATGGAGACCTGCAGTCATTCTGGAACTGTGGCAAAAACACAACAAAACAAACAAACAAAAAAAACACCGTCCAACTTTGGCACACATCGTCTCTTTTTATGTGGCGATAATACACAAACAGGATTGCCTTTCATGTGTTTCTGTGTAGACTCAAATTGGTTTGATGTTTGAAGGCTCAGAATGACAAAATAATAACTCAACCCAATTGCATTAAAGCAAAATTAATGAGCATGTTTTGAAAATGTAAGAATTAGAAAGTACAGTAACAAAGTATTTGTACTTCATTACTTCCCACCCCTGGAAACAACCAACTTCCATCAGTGCTTCCCCAAAAACACAACCATAGTTACGATGGTAGCAATGGCACAGGTGTGTGTACAGTGATATAAAAAAAAGTGTTTTTACTCTTTCTAAGGTTTGTTGGTGGCCCAGATCTGGTTTGCCAGATGTGGCCCACACATGGACCAGCAGCAGACACACCGTGCTGGCCCAGAACAGTTTCAGCTCTGGCCCCAGATGTCAGCGTAATGTGTACCATAATCAGGACATGTAATAACAACATGTGCTGGAACATAATAGTGCAAAAGTAACATGAAGAAACTCTGTTCGGACAGTGAATGGACTGATTCTCATAGCGCTTTTCCCTATCCCAGATTACTCAAAGTGCTCTATCATGTCACATTCACACACTTTCTCTAAACTGAGTGTTTCATAACTACATTCATACACATTCATTACTCTTGGCATACAGACTGGAGGAGCCAGGGATCGAACCACTAACCTCCTGAACAGTAGGTGACCTGCTCTACCTCCTGAGCTACAGCCACACAGTGATAAACATGAGTAAACCCTCACTAGGTTTTGGATACAGTGTACAGTCTCAAACCTGCATTTGAAACGTTTGCTACCATAGCAGTATAGTATTGCAACATGGCATTTGGGTCTTCTAACTAAAATAGGAAAATAGGAACATAACTGGTGTATGTCAACATCTGGTTGACATACACGCTGACGTGACGCCAGTGAGTCAGAAGGGCCAGCTTGGTGCCAGATCCGGGCCAGACCTGTTTTCTATGAGCCTGGGTCACATAAACCGAACCACAATTGGGCCAGATATGGCATGCCATTGCATAAACCGTGCCATCTATGCCAGGCCTGGCCCATATCCTGATGACATACATCTTACCATGCCAGAAGTCAGCCAGCAGTGCCGGCTTGATACCAGATCCGGGCCAGACCTGCTTGCTACGTGGGTAATAAATGCCACCAGAAATACATTGTGGCAGTACATAATAGAACAATAATAAGTTCGAGGGGGGACCTCTAAAAAGCTTTAGAATTGTTTCCTACTTTGTGAAACAATGTTAAGAAACACAGCTTTTTATATTAAAAAATTAACTTAAAAACATTAAGAAGTAGCGTGACATTCAGTAGGTTTTTCTACTTGTTTCTACTGAATCAGGGTTGATGAGATACTGTATGATAGGCTCAACCAATGTTTTGAAAGAGCTGTGCTTGATGTTATTCACCTGTGGCCATGAACGTGATTGGAACAATTTAGTGATTTGGAATGGTGAGTGAATACTTTGATTTGAGAGTTCTTTCTTGCCAACACTGGAAAAAGTAAGTGAAGTAAAATGGATTCACTTTAAAATTGTACTTGAGGAATTTCAATACAATCAAAATGCAGAATTATAAGGACTTTATAGATGGAGCACGTGAAATCTAATGATCCCATGGAAACATATATTGTTTGAAAGAAAAATTGAACATCTACAAAAGTCTCCATTTGTTTAGTTTACACAGTGGATTTCAAAAAACCTCCCTTCGAAATCTCCAAATGTGAAATTACCTCTTGCATGACTGTAGTGATTTGCATCAGTCCTTCCAAGAGGCACAGCCCTGTCATAGGCATGGCAGTGAAGCATCTAATTTGACTTCTGCATGCTTTTTTTCATGCATAAAAAGTGTGCTTTTTGTGCTATTCCATTTAAAATTTTTGATGAGTGAAAGAATTATTTTCACTGGCTTTGTTCATGAGCCACTCACATTGCTGCATTCTGTCATGGCC